ACCATGTAGCTTTCTGCAGCCAAATTATGAACACATTCTAATTGCAATTCCCATGCTCAGAACACCCCACTGTTCTGTACTCTATACCATTTACTCCTCAAAATCTAAGAAAACCAAACACCAAAACCTAACCACAATGAAAATATAAGATAAGCAGGAATAGCCATGTAAACTTAGGTAAATACTGCTTCTTCCTTCCTCAAAATCATGACTCTGGTCTGTAATTTATGGAACTTTTCTCCTACACTCAAGTTAGAAAATCTGTAGCATTTCTAGAAGAATATTTGGGAGAAAAATAATATATGTAAAGATATTCAAGTTTTTACCTAAGTATAAATTTTAATGGCTGTATTCCACACCAAAACAAAGAACCAAGCATACCTGAAGTAAGTTTTCTTCCTCACACAAATGTTTATCAACTTTCTTGTAGAGGTTATCTAGACCTTTTTTCACTTCTTTTCCAGGATACTCTTTAATAACTTTACGAAGTTCTTGTTTGTTAAATGCAAGTTGGTAGCTTACTTCCTCCTCTCTTATACCTTGTGCTACACGAGCTTCAACACCTTCAAAGAAATGCTTCAAGGAAATGGAAAGAAACAATGGCTGAAAGTGTTCTTACAACTCACTTAAATAAAAAAAAATACCTTGTTACAAAATAGTACATATGCACCTGTATAAAAATTAGCAACACATGTATGAAAGTATAAAGAATAAAATAACAATCACTTGTTATCACACCACTCACAGATACCCACTGCTAACATTTTAGAGTTTCTCTAGTCTTTTGATGTCTGGGTACACAGATGAGATTGTAAATTTGTATTCTGCATTTTTCCATTTATGTTTTTTTTTTTTTCCTACACATAAATTGTAATTGTTGCAAAATATTCCACTCAGTAAGCACAGTATTGGATATTTAATCCTTTTCCATTTTTTAAAATCTGTTATAAATACAGTTACCATAAATATCTTGACCCATATCGTGATTACTTTCCAGCAAAATTTCTAGGACTCTAATTACTCAGTTGAGGAGTATAAGTTACTCTGAAAATTCTTCGTATGTACACATTGCTTCCCAGGAAAGGTCAATTAACTTATATTTCTATCAATAGTGTATGAGAACGCTACCTCACCATACCATCATAAGCAAACAATACTTATCATTTTGATCGAGTGAAAAAAGTTGAGTTTTATCTCACAATTCTCTGGCCATAAATGAAGTTAATATATTTTCATACATTTAGTAGTATGCCCATTTATACACAGGGGTCTTAGTGCCTTTCTTAATTGATTTTAAAGAGTTCTTTTATATCAAATATACTGATTGTTGTTTTATTGTTACAAACATTTTATTCAAGTTGTCTTAAGTACATTTGTCTTCTTAATATAAAACCAAACTCACTGCTATCGAGTCAATTCTAACTCATAGTGACCCCCATTGGGTTTCCGAGGCAGTAAATCTTTATGGAAGTAGATTGCCTGATCTTCCCTCCGTGCAGCAGAAGGTTGAACTGGCAACCTTCTGGTTAGCAGTCAAAATTCCTTAGGCACTGTGCCACCGGAACTCTTTCTTCTTGATATGGAGAGATTAAAATTTTTATGTAGATAAAATATCCCTTTACTTTCTATTGCTTTTAAAATTTGCACAGTCCAGTCCCTTGGAGGTCTATAGGTGCTGCAATGGTTAATCCCCAGACTACTAACTGAAAGGCTGGTGGTTCAACCCCACCTAGAGACACCTCAAAAGTAAGACCTGGCAATCTCCTTCTGGAAGGTCACAGCCCTGAAAACCTCTGGAGCAGTTCTATTCTTCATCCATGGGGTCGACACGAGTTGGCATCAACGTGACAGCAAATACCAACGTCCCTTTTGGAAATCAGCTATTAATTTTTTTCTAGCTTTTTAATGTTTTTCATTTTTAACATGTAGTCCTTTAATTTTTTACTCCTTGTCAAAGCAATTTTCCTAAACCATTTACTGAGTAATCCATCCATTTCCTACTAATTTGTGATAGTTCTTTTACTGTATAAAATTCTTGCATGTATATTAGGATTTATTTCAAAATTATTTAAACAGCTTTATTGATTGGCATTCCTACATTTATGCACTATACAACAGAATTTAATATTGCTAAGTCCAATTCCTTCTTATTACTTTATCTAAAATTTTCTTAGCAGTTCCTATTTATTTTCCATTAAACTATTATTTTTTCAATAAGTTTATTCCTGTGCCTTTGTAAGTTGTTTCTTCATGAGCTCCTGACTGATTATTACTGACATACAGGAAAGAAAATGGTTTTTTACCTATTTATTTAGAATCCTGCCCCTTTACTGGAGACCAATCATTTTAACATGTCATATACAGGTGATGATAATCTTCACTCTTCTTTCTGTAGCTCTTTTTTATGCTTCATGTCTAACTGCATTGACCAGAGCTTCTATAAGAATATTAAAGACTCTAACAATGTTTTTCATTTAAAAGTAAATGTTTCTAATGTTACAGTTAAATACCATGTAGGCTTTAGTTTTGAGACAGACCATTTACCTTATGGAAGGAATATATGTCTAATGTTTTATAAAGAATTGGTTCTGCATTTGATTGGTGGTGTTAGATGCTGTCAGGTTGGTTCTGACTCATAGAGATCCTATGTACAACAGAACGAAATACTGCTGGGTCCTGTGCCATCCTCACAATCATTTCTTGAGCCTATCATTGCACCAGGAGCTCTGGTAGCGTAGTGCCTAAGGCACTTGACTGCTAACCAGAAGGCTGGCGGTTCAAACCCACTAGCCACTCCTCAGAAGGAAGATGGGGCAATCTACTTCCGTAGTGATACTGCCTCGGAAATCTAAGGAGGGGTCACTATGAGTCAGGTCTGACTTGATGGCATATAACAACAACAACAACATCATTGCACCACTGTGTCAATCTACCTTTTGCTGATCCTCTACTTTACCCAGCATGCTATCCTTCTTTAGGGACCAGTCCCTTCTGACGTCACCAAAGTATGTGGGACAAAGTCTAACCATTCTCGCTTCTAAGGAACATTCTGGCTGTAGTTACTCAAAGACAGATTTGTTTGTCCTTTTTGCGGTCAGTCCAAGGTATTTTCAGTATTCTCCACCAATCCAAACCAAAATCAAACCCACTGCCATCGAGTTGATTCCAACTCATAGTGACCTCCACTGGGCTTCCAAGATTGTAAATCTTCACTGAAGTGGACTGCCACATTCTCCTCCAGCCGAACAGCTGGTAGGTTTAAACTGCTGACCTTCTGGTTAGCAACCAAGTGCCTTATCCACTATACCACTTCAAATGCATCAGTTCTACTTCATTTGATTAGATATCTTTTAAGTATTTCTTTGAAATGCTGATATCAGATATATTCTTTATTAGACTAACTTCAGGTTAAAAACTTTTGAAAGTTGACTAGCCGCATTTTGGACAAAGTTAGAATGCTCCCTTTATGCTTTCACTGTGTTGTTAAAAAACCCAACCCAACCCAACCCAATGCCCTTAGTCGATTCCGACTCATTGTGACCCTCTAAGACAGAGTATGACTGCCCCATAGGATTTCTAAGGCTGTATATCTTTATGGAAGCAGATCACTTCATCTTTCTCCTGTGGAGTAGCTGGTGGGTTCAAACCACCAACCCTGTGATTAGCAGCTGAAGGCTTTAATCACTATGTCACCAGAGCTTCTATATTGTTAAATTCTCTAAAATTACCATTTCTTAATTCTAATGATCAGACTTGCTCTAAGAAACGACTCAAGTCAGGTAAAAAATAAGGAAAAGGCAATAGAAAAAGTAATTTTTGGTTTCTTCTTATCTTGATAGTATTTTTTAAAAACTTTACCTCACCTATGGATAAAGGGTGACTATTTATGAGGTAAGAAATGAGAAAGAGTGTGATATAATGAAAAAAGTCTAATCTAGGTTTTTATCTTAGCTCTGCTACTTATAAGCTATCATAACTTTAACGCAAAAAACATAACCACTGCTGCGGAGTCAGATCCGACTCACAGCAATCTTTCCCTGACCTTCCAAAGCAGTATCACGACGGAAGTAGATTGCCCAAACTTCCTTCTGGGGAGTGGCTGGTGGGTTTGAACGGTCAGTCTTCTGGTTAGTAGTCAAGTGCCTTAGGTACTAGTGTATTTACTTTGTTTCTTCATTGGTAAGAAAAGGGTAATATTACCTTTCCTCACACCATTATTTAAAAGAATTTTAAAAAATAATGTTATAAGTTCCGGCAAGATGGCGGACTAGGCAGAAGGATTGCAAAGACCCTCTTCAACAAAGAAAAGGGAAACCAATTAACACAGACACAGAAGATAATCTTGGACCCCT